AATTGAGAATTGTCTCCTTTTCAATTTTGACAAAATACCTATAGTACTGAAGTTTTGGTCAAATTTTAAAGCAATTTTTTCTAATTGATTTGGCATGATCACATATAATATGTACATGTACATGTACACGTATATTTTTTACATGAATCATCCATTATGCATGTACTTTATAGTCCATTATACATTATTTATAGATGAAGTTCAATGTCTCCAGAAAGAGGAGGTTGTTTGGTCGTGAGATACAGTTCTCTGATTACAGTTACATTAACAATAAGGAGCTCTACACTGAAGTGACACCAGTGGCTCCTGGAGCAACTTCTCAAGAGAATATCCTTGAAATAAAGAGATTGGAACTGGAGCAAGGGACACAGGTGAGGGAGGGAGGGGAGCAAGAGAGAGAGAGGGGGGGGAGAGCTTCACTTAAATTAAAAGAATATAAATGTTCAAATTAGCTCAAACTTTCTATATAGTATGCAGTAAGGGAGCCTAATATTGATCAATACATGTACATGTATTTTTGTGACATGCTCAGTATACAAGTACATGTACATGTACATGTATGTATATGTACATGTACATCTAAATGATCACTAGCTGTTGACGCATGTGTTTTCTCAACTATTTTTAGGCTATTCCTGAGGTTGCTGATAAAATCATTCAGTCAAAATGGTAAGTGAAAATACAGTGCTTGATTATGTATAGTACACTATGCTACTTGTATTGACACATAATGTACATATGAACATGTACATGTATTGTTAATGATTAGGAGCTGTCCAGTTAATGCATGCACTCAATATGAACCAAGGACATTCAGTGAAGAGGAACAAGAGAGAGTTTGGAAGAGTGAAGAGATGCAGGAATTCATGAAGAATGTAACACCAAGGTACACATGCACATGTACATGTATTATAGAGAAAGGGGGAAGGAGGGAGAGAGAGGAAAGTTATACATGTACATGTTTACATATCCAGCAGAGAAAATAGGAAAATATAAATTTTATGTACTGTACATATTATATCGTATGGCCTATTCTTTATTGTATTTTTATTTTATTTATTGATTTTATAGAATGGAATTGTGTTTGCAGCAGAATGAGATTATGGATATATTCCCTGATGACTATCTCCTACTGTCCAATGATGATGGGATTGTTGCTAACACAACTGACACTAATCTTAAGGTTTCATTAGAAAATATATCAAACTACATGTACATGTACATGTACTTGTTTATTATAGGAGTATCAGTCATTCACTGACCTCAAGTTCAGTAAAGATAAAGTTGTGACTTGTATTGACTGGCATCCAACAATCAAAGGTCTGACATACCTACACTGTACATGTACATGTATGAATGATAAATTTACAATAATCAGTTTCGTATTGAATATGCATTCACTGGTATATATGTTACTTTATGAACAATGTACAATGTAGAAAGTTTGACCTGATTTGAGCTGAAATTTTAAAAGTTATAAATGACAATTTCAAAAAATATGCCAATATTGATAAAATTCCCTGTACTATAGCCCATGGTTTTTTTGAAAAATTGGCTCCGAAATTACCCCCAATTTTTATTACATTTTCTGATACATATTGATGTACTTATGCTATGTAGAAAGTTTGAGCAAATTCCGACTTCAATTTTTCAAGTTATGACCATTTAAAAAATCCAATTTTCTGAAAAATCCCCTGTACTATAGCCCATGGTTTTTCCGAAAAATTGGCTCCAAAATCACCCCCAATTTTTAATACATTTTTTGATACATATTAATGTACTTATGCTATGTAGAAAGTTTGAGCAGATTCCGACTTCAATTTTTTGAGTTATGACCATTTTTCTAAAACTTCAAATTTCTAAAAAATCCCCTGTACTATAGCCCATGGTTTTTTTGAAAAATCGGCTCCGAAATTACACCCAATTTTTATTACACTTTCTGATACATAATGATGTACTTATGCTACGTACAAAGTTTGAGCTAATTCCGACTTCAATTTTTCAAGTTATGACCATTTTTTAAAAACTCCAATTTTTTTTAAATCCCCTGTACTATAGCCCATGAATTTTTCAAAAAATTGGCTCCAAAATCACCCCCAATTTTTATTACATTTTCTGTTGCATATTGATGTACTTATGCGACGTAGAAAGTTTGAGCTAATTCCAACTTCAATTTTTGAAGTTATAACCTTTTTAAGAAACTTCAAATATTCTGAAAATACCCTATTCTACACTGTATGTAGCCCATATTGCTTTATTCCTCTTAGAGTATCATGTAATGTGTTCATTAGGTATAGTTGCTGTATCAGTTGGTGAGCCATACTCACTCAATGAAAGGATAGAATTATCATTTAAACTAGTTCACTCAAACTCACTTGTTCTTCTATGGAGCTTCACTGATCCCATTCACCCTCAAGTAATAATATGTGCATTATGTTTTACAGTCAAACCTGTCTATTCCGGACACCTTGGGACCAAATAAAACTGTCCTTATTATAGAGGTGTCCTTATTTCAGAGGTTCATTAATACACATTTATATTGTATTGGGACTGATACTACCTGTCCTGATTATAGAGGTGTCCTTATTTTAGGCTGTCCACAATAGCAGGTTTCACTGTATACCTTTGTGCATACACTGTACTAGCTGTATCATTCATATCAATCCTAATTGTGTGCCTAAATTCATTTACATTTTAATTTTTGTATAATTATTTTGTTTTATTTTTTTCAAGTTATTTTTAGAAGCTCCTGAAGATATTTTGTGTTTCAAGTTCAATCCAAGCAATCCAAACCTCATTGTTGGGGGCTGCATCAACGGACAGGTAACAAATGTACATGTACATGAATTTTGCTTCATTTTTATTACATTTACATATACATGTACATGTATAGGTTGTAATATGGGATATAACGGACTATCAGGAGAGACTACAGATTCATCGCTCAATCAATACAAAAGAGAAAGGACCAGTAATGAACGTATGTACACACAATGTACATGTACATGTACTATATAGCACATTACTATTATATACATGTAATTGTGAGGCATACAGTACCGCTCAGCTATAAGTTTACCTATTGTGTACACGACACGGGTGCAGCTTGGCTATGCATTCAAGCTGCACT